GCCCACTGAGAGAGACAAAATAGTGACACAGATGAAAATGAAATGATTGGTTCTTTATTGCTATAAATTGGATTACAGGGCATGGCTTATGCAACAATCAGCTTCCCACTTCTCAGAGTCCTTCAATTTATTTTGTATTTTAATGTTTTTAGGCAGAATGCTCTTCTTATTTATATTTGTAAATATTTTCATTGCTTGCTTCTGCAATACAGATACAGTCGATGAGTGTGCTGCCTTGTAGCAGTTCAGATGGAGAAGGAAGAAATAAAAAGCAAGTCTCTCTCTATGATTATTATTTTTACTAATGGAGACTGGGTTGTGCAACATGGTTTAAGCATGTTATCCAAATGACTTCCTGCATTGAATCTCAGAATTCGGCAGACTCCGTGTTCAGGGCCCGAGCACTGAATTAGCTGCTTTTATCGACAAGCACGAACAGTCTCTAGCTCTGCCACCATATTCCTTCTGCCTCCGTTTCTCTGGCTCCTTTGATACCATTCTTCTGGTCCTTCCTTGCGTACGGACCCACAGCAGTCGGGATATGCCTGGGCCAAGGCTTAGCGTTCCCCTCTTTAGGCCAATTACACACGTGTTCCCATTTGAGAGGCCAGCCTGCCTGCTTCAGCTGCGGCGGCGGAGTGGGAGGGAAATGAACAAGGCCAAGTGAGACCTGACCTTAAACTACAGCGCACGTGGCCATTCCCTCAGATAAATTGTCACGTCCAATTGGTGTGCAGAAGAGTCACCTGACACTGTCATAAAAAAGAACCGAGTCTTAGACCTGTCCCTTCCCACTCGCCCTGCTTGGGATGGTCCCCTCCCACACCCATCATGGTGTGAATTCTCGAACATGGTCATTGTCCTGGTTGTCCAACGCACAAGTCCGGTCACAGAGTGTCATCGCTCATGCTCTGTGGATCTGACCGAGTCCAACAGGCCTCCTTCGCTGTCTCAGGCCAGCCAGCTCATGCTGGTTTTGGCTGGACCCAGCACGGCTGGTTTTATTTGAGGATTTCAAGACTGAGGTTTGGCACATTTGGACCCTCTGCTTGGTGTTAGGGATAGTCGTGGTTTTTGCAACGAATATTCAAACACCTTAAGTAAAAAATATTTTAGGCAGCAGGCCTTCATTTTAAATATTTCACCAGACTTTTTTTTTTAAACTATGGAAACTTATCTTAATAGAATAAAAAGACTCGACATTGAGTGCAGGGGATTATCAGGAAAGACTGATGTTTTTGCACCAGAGACCTTTGCTTAGCAAAGTAAGCATGCACCAAGGCCTAGATTCAGCCTTATGGGCTCTCAAACTTGATCTTGTCAGTGAACTATGTGTGTTATGACTCTTCCTGGCTATGCAATCTTAGCTCTGTGCCTCAGTTTCCTTATCTGCAAGGGGAATTTGGGTATTTACTAATATTGCTTTTATAATGTAGCAGGTAAACAGGATCAAAATAGTATCAAGCCAACCAGAGGGGTGAGGGCCTCAGCAGAGCAGAGTAAGATTTATTAATGAAGAGCTTACATGGATGTTTAAAACCTATTTATTTTTTATGCAGAGCTTTAGAATTTACAACACTTTCCACTTTCCTGTAGCTTATCACTTGATAATGGAGATACTCTTACCTGCATTTTATAGGTGGGAAAACTCAGGTTCAGGCCCCTGGATCAAAGCGGAACAGTCAGTAAGTAGCAGAGTGGGAAGACGGTCCAGACCTTTGCCTCCTCATCTCTTTCCGTTCCTTTTTGTTCTGCCTTCGGGTGTTTTAGTTTAGGTGAGCTTTCTGTTTGGTTCATGTGAGTCTTCTCTATTAAAGCTGGGAGGTGTGTTTCTCTGTTCCTCTTCTGTGTCTAAGGACTTTGCTTTCCTAGTTGCCCCTGGAGGCCTTTGCTTACCCAGCTCAATCCCATAAGCAAGAGCTGACTTGCTTTGTGAGCAGGGTGCGTTGTGTGTCAGCTTATGCCGGGTGTGCACTGGTCCCTGGCATTCACCGCCTGTAAACTCCAGCCATCAGAGACTGTCTTCGAGGTGTTGTTTGCACACACTAGCGATAAGGCAAAGTCTGGCTTCTCCTTAGGAACTGGCCAGAAATATGCTTTTCAACCGTGGCTTTATCATCTTAGTTTTTGGATGTCAGAACAGCCTAGTACATGTTTAAACACAACTTTGGGCACCTTGAACTTGCCCACGGTCAATAACATCATCCGGTAGTACTGTTGTGTATAACCAGTTTAGCAACATAAGTTATACAAACATGATATGTTATTCAGATTTGTTGCTGATACCTTTAAATTTGAGTGCTCATTCTAAATGTTATTTAGAATGAAATCTCTTTATGATCATTCACATTTCATTAAAATAATGAAGGCATAATAATTTATGCAATTATAATTACTGCAATTATAAAATGAAGCAGTAATTACTATGAAAGCTGTTATTTTTATTTAAAAACCTTTCAGAATCTTTAAATGGATAAATAAGGATATAGGTTAGCAGTTAATACAAAAATTAAGGAAAGCTGCCTTAGTTGGATAAATTCAGTTATCTTTCTTGGCAAATGAAAATTTACAAGAACTTACATAATACAAAGCAGAATAATAAAAATGTGAGTACGCCATAGTTCTACTATTCATAAAATTATTAGATGTATGTTAAACAAAATAAGCTTTAAGAGCTATATTTAAATTTTAGTTTTGTGATTTCATTTAGGCCATGATTCTCTCAAGAAAAATTTCTTTGGGGAATAGTTGTCTTGTAAGAATGAGGTAAGGGTGGCAACTCTGTGACCTACGTTTCATGAGAAAACTCTAAAATCACATACAAAACTAGATATAATAAGAAATCCGAGAGTAGCATACAAGAGAAAAGCACAGAGAAATTAGGTGCCCCCAATTTGTTCTTTTGCCAACTTTCTTGAGTTATTTAACCTCAGCACGTGCGCTCTGTAGGGGCCCGGAGCCGGCCCTGCTGGGCAAACATCGCGCTGGCTTTACATGATAAGCTTGACATTTCACTTCTCACAGCTTAGTGATAAATTGTAATCGTAGCAACAATGTTTTTGATATAATATAAATAGTGAATGTTGTGTACACACAAATAAAAGACTATGTCTGAACCTACACCTTCCTTCTCGGATGGCCCTTTTCAGCTTTGGCTTGGCTTTGGCTGAATATTGGTTTTAGCACCTGACCATCGGGCATTTGACTAAAACCTGCATTTGGGGAATTTCTACTACAAATGATCTTCTACAATTTGGCAACCATGTTGTGTTCTCGGTAGTGGGGTATTGGCCATCGTTAAGTATTCCTACTATGTAGGTAACCAGTTACCATTATGGTATCACTATAGACCCGGTCCCTTGGCCTGGCCTGCGAGGATCAGGCCAAAACCAGCTCTCTGACATCCCCCTAGGGGTCCCGGATTGCAAGAGGGCAGTTCTTGGGTGACGCACCCTGGAATAAGGCTCCCTCCTCTCTGGGTCTGGGTGCATCACCTGAGAACTGCAGCTGCCAAGTCACTGCAGCTCGGCAGCTCCTGCGTTGAGCTTCTGCCCCTGGTGGTCATTGTGCATCATAGCTACCGGTCAGGTGGTCAGACGGTCGGATGGTTGCGTAGGCTTTTATATATATAGATGCTGTCTTTGGCAGCTGAGCCAGGATCCTGTTAAGGATATCTTTGGCTGCTAGTTGCACACAAAGACGTTCTTACCTCTCCTTCTAGCCTCAGTCAGATGACTATGTCTTTTCCCTTCCTGCTACCCGGGTTCCTTTCTTTGCATTATGCATCTATATAGGCCACATTACAATGTAGTAATGAACAACCTTCAAACTCGGTCGTTTAATTTTTAAAAACTGCCAGGGTTCAGCCCCAGCGGTCCAGGCGTTCCCAAAGGTGTGGACGGTGTCAGCGAAGAATGAAGGACATGGAGACAGCATTCAGATGATCAGCATAGTCAGGTTCTTTTTTTATTATCCTGTTACAGCTGTATTTATACTATTTGATTCTATAATCATGCCTCTATAGTTACATCATGGTATGTTTTGGGTCCTCCTTTGACCTTTTACAGTTCCTTGTTCTCTTATCTGACCTTGGCTAAAAATCTTATCTCTATCTAGCTCTGTTGATTTTAATCTTATCTATTGTCTATGTTTCTACATTCTATTCTAAAGGTTAGTCTCTGTGTTTCATTATAAGGGGTAGTTTGTTATTTCTATTCCAAGGTCACTATTCTACTGCTCTACTGTTAAGCTATAAAGAAATAACTGAAGGAGATTTTCCTATTCTATGGCCTAAGTAAAGGTTATGACCTTTTAGCCTTGCTGGTGGTCTTCCTTTGGACTGCCCTGCGTCGGCGGGTTTTTAGGGGTATAGGCTTTGGTACTTTCTCTGGTGGGTAGACCCCGGGGATGTGGGCCTAACAAGTCCTAAATTTATTGCTAACAGTCTTAGTCTAAGTTCCTCATAAGTAGTACATGGTATTTCTGTAGCACTAGGGGTTTTACTGATTTATTCCCTTCCCTAGTCCTGTTAATCCCTAACTCCAGGGAAACATTCACACCTGGGGGAACAACCTTTCTCAGGGAGGTGGCCCTGGTTAGAACACATAGCACTAAGAAGGGGAGCAAACATATTAAGAACAGTATGCCATATACGCCAGGTCCCTTGGAACATATGCTGTGCAGATGTTTCTTCCCTGCAGCGACTGTGTCAAGCAACAAGGATGGAACGGCTTCCTGCAAAAAACTGTTTTGCTTTTTCACTTTATGTCTAGGTTCCATCAGGTGTCTGACCCCAGGGTGACACTGAAGACCCAGCTGATGGAGAAGTTGCATCTCACAGTTGCAGCGCCTGCAGCACACGGCTCCTACGCCCACCGCAGCGGGAGAGACAGGGCGCAGCTGGGACTCTTCTCTGCCCCTGCACAGAAGCGATGCATGTCCTTGGACTGAAAGAGTCACAAGTCATTTGGCCTAATAATTGCAGGGCTCCCTCTGCCCAGAGAGGAGAAGAACCAGATGTCGGTAAGTGCTAAGAATCGCTACCACAGTTTCTCTTCTAGTCACGACACTCTCTTCCAACAGCCTTCCCAGGAGTGCAACTGAAAGTCCCCTTGTCACGGCACCGAGCTCAAAGCTCAGCGTCATAGTCTCTACTTCAGATTGAGGATGGTTTCTCTTCGTCTGGAGACTATGAATGAAAATGGCAAGTTATCTGCCCTGCCATGGCCCAAGACAGCTTCCAGGGAAGGGAGTGAGCCACTGGGCCACAGGAGCGCTCCAGTCTCCTGGCAGTCACTCTACGCGGAGAGCTGCTTGTCCTCTGCCTCTCGGCGTCTTTGGAAGACTTTCCGTTTCTCGTTTGCTTCTCCAGCCGCCGCTGAAGTTGGCCTTGGGAAACAGGCCCTCTACGAGGACGTGCCCATTTCACAGCCCCTGCTCCGGCTGAAAAAGGTTGGTAGCCCACAGTGTCTCGCAATCTTTCAAAAACACAGACAGCTCCTTCCCATTTTATTCCAGTCATCTTCACCTGCCAGGAGCCACACCCAAACCACCTTTTCAAACAATACCAAACGCACAGAGAAGCTTCCAGAAGGGCACAAGCACCTGTGTTGGCCCTGAGCCATTTGAGAGCAAGTTGCTGGTAGGATGCTCCATCATTCCCTAGTCTGTGCATGTTCTGCTAATGAGGGCATTTCTTACCTGACCCAAATGCAACCCTCAGAATCAGGAAACCACCTGTTACCATCACCATCAGTTACCCTCACACTTGCCTGGTATTTCAAAAATGTCCTTCATAGCAAGAGAATCCAGTTCAGAACCATGAGCTGCTTTTCGCTGCATATGTTCTTGGTGCCCCTCACTGTGGCCAGCTCCTCAGCCTCTCCTTGACTTGCATTACCTGACACTTTCAAAGCTTTCAGACCAATGACTTTGTACTGTGCCCCTTCCATTTGCACCTGTTTCATGTTTCTTTGGGACCAGATTCGTGTTGCATTTTGTCAGGAATGTCAGAGACAATGCTGTGTTCTCTGCACGCTGTTAGGTGGCACAGAGTTTCATTTTTTCACTTTGATCACGCCAATAAGATTTGAAGTCTGTTCTGTAAAGTTATTCTTTTTCTGTTTGTAACTAATAACTCTTGTGGGAAGGAACTTGAGAGCTATGTAATATTCCATGTGTCGTCTAACTTTCAGTTTATTCATTTATTAACTTTTATTTTGAATACATGCATTTTCCATTTTACTTAATGGATGTAATCCATTGCCATCATTATTTATTTGGGTAATCAGACTGTCCTAGATGTGACCAGTGAGTGCCTCTTCAGGCGGGCACGTGGACTGGGACACACTTCTATCGTTCTTGGAGCTATTCTTTGTTTTCTAGGGCAAGGCGCTCTGAGATCACTGTGTACTTGCCTGCCCCAGCTCTGGAAGCAGCCATTTCTCTGGGGGCCAGTTCCTTGGGTAGAGATTAGGCATCTTAAAGCCATGATCTAGGCATTGGTAAGCCCATAGGGATTCTGGTGTCACTTCCCCTAGGCTCTCTCCGAGGACAGAGGCAGAGAATCTGTGTGTGTATGTATATAATGTGTTTACAGATATACATTTGTATCTATTTTTAAAATTTTAATTAAAAATTTTTCAATTACACTTTACATTCAATATTATTTGGTATTAGTTTCAGGTACACAGCAGGTGCATAGGTAATCATATACTTTACAAAGTGTTCCCCCTGGTATTTTCAGTACCCAGCTGGCACCTATATACAATATTATTGACTAACATCATTTTGTTCAACATCATTTCATTATAAAGTTGATGAGATGCCATAGGAAATGAACTCTTATTTATATCAATTCGTCTGTGGTAAAATTGTTTTTCTTATACATCATTTTGCTTAAATTTGCAGAAGCTATTGACAAAGTTAAGTGAAGACTTACTGTATAAAAATATATAAAATACATATAAAAATATAAAGAAAATCTCCACAGGTTCATACTGATGCATCACAGGGTTCCTTTCAGTTTTCTCCCTTACTTATTCGCAGTAGCCTTCTCTACCAACGGGAAGCCTGCCCCCCTAGACTCGTTTTAGCAGTTGCCTCCCTGCACAGAGCCCCCCAACCCCCAGGGGGCCTGACTGCCCATGCTGCTTGGTGTCCTCTGCTCCCCACCAGTCTTCAGCCCCCAGGCTCTGCCACCCCTTGCCAGGAAGCTCCCCTCCACATGGATGCCCTCCTTGCCCTTCTGAGGCCCTGACCCTTGCACTGCCTCCTCTAGGTGGATGCCCTCCTTGCCCATTCGGGCTCAGAGCTGGGCAGCTGTCCTATGCAGATGCCACCCTTACTCAGCTCAGGCTCTGGTGGCTCCCCCGCCCCTACAGGTAGGGGAGTCCACCTTCCTCTGCCCACCTAGTGGCTTCTGGGCCAAACCCTTTAAGGAGGGGAGGGAGGAGAAGAGAGAGACCCCCAAGGTTCTTTTGGGACAGATTCCTCATGTCTAGTGTTTCTTTGTGTGTTCACTCCCGGAGCTCTCATTCTTTAGCCCACTTTTGTGGGCAAGTTTGGACCCTTATATTTGACATGAGTAATTTCATAGAGTTGAAAAGATTTACTGAGCAATATAACCTTAATCTGATCCTTGCCCTTAGGTAATATAATCTGTTGAAAGAATTTATTGGCATCTCCCTTAAAATTGCTTCCTGACTCTAATATTATACTATTTAGAGTCTGGGAGCAGTTGCTTTTTAACCATGCAAAGCGCCAGTTCTTAAATCTCTCCATTTGCTTTCAAATTGGGCAATTCTGTTCTGGGCTATGTCATTCTTATGATCCGTATCTGAACGCGGCTAATATCACTAAATAAATATTCTGACATGTTTCCCCTGAGCTGCAGGTTTACTCAAGTCATGATCTGTTTCCCAAGTCACCGGAGTGGCAGTCTTGCTAGCTATTTGGTCACTACGACACAGGGATTACAGCCTTGGTGACCCCAGGCACCAGTTCCTTTGCCAACGATGACCATCTAACTGTGAAGTCAGCTCCACATATTTTGGGGTTTTTTTTACAAGGGCACCCAACTTCTGATACCAAATTCTTTATTAATTGGAATGGATTAGGTTATGTTCTCATAGCAAACAATCCAAAGTTTTATTGTCTTAATACAACAACAGAAGTTGATTTCTTGATCCCAATGAAGGGCCTTCTCTGGGGGGTGGGGAGGAAGGGAGGGCTCTATTTCGCATAGTGGCTCAGAAACGCAGGCTGTCAGAGTCCTGCTGTCTGTAGCTGTGCCACCTGATACAGCTGGGCCCTGGCGGGGTCTGGAGAAGAGTGCATGGCTTTTCACTGCCTCAGACCGGACACGACATACATCACTTATGGTCACGTTTCAATGGTCAGAATCAGTCAGAGGGTCCCACCCAACGGCAGAGAAGCGGAAAGTGCAGGCTTCCGTGTGCCACCAAGGGCAGAGCTCGATGCTGGCACGGATTCCAGTCGTGCCTCGTTCCGCCTCTGTGCTTGATTGAGTGCCTCTTACTTTCTAGGTGCTCTTCTAGGCAGTGAGGGTGTAGCGGTGAACAGAAGAGACAAAACCCACCCACCCTCCAGATGATGGGCTGCACAGGCAACTTGTATTGGTTTATTTTTCATGTTCTTTGCCATAATTTAATAGACAAATTATAATGCGTTATGGAACTACTCATAATTGTAAAATTATAAAGGTTGCACCCTGTATGAAATATTCATCTCAATCAAGTTTCAGCAGGGTACTAATATGCCGGCGGCAACTGCGCACACAAGGAATTTTACAAATGAAATTGTAAAGCTTGAAAGTATAACCTTTACTCCAATAAGCTGGATCACAAATATACTTTATTGAACACAATAGAGTTTGGATGGACTCTCTGTAACGCAGCACCATTACTGGAAAAGGTTATTCAAGTTTATGCCCAACTAACGGTAAGTCGCCATTATAATTATCGCCCAGGCATACAAACATTTTACAACATTTCTTCATTTAAAAATAAATAATGAAATAAATGCAATTTATATATGGCAAGCTTTTTAAAACAGCTAGTATAATTTCTTCTCTTATCACTTTTAAATTTCTTCACCACCATTAGTTTTTAAATGTTTTTAATTGAATTTATTTGGGGTGACAGTGGTTAATGAAATTATATAGGTTTCAAGGGTACAATTCTACAATCCATCATCTATATATTGTATTGTGTGTTCCCCACCCCATCTCCTTCCATCACCATTTATCCCCTATAACTTCTCCTACCTCCCCCACCCCCTTTATTTTAGAATATAGTGTGTCAGGCAGTGACAAGTGCTATGGAAAAAATTAAGTGAAAAGGAGACTAAGGCTTTCTGGTGGGAGAACGAGATTTGTAAACTTAAATATTTCAGTTGGAAAAGGTCAGAGTTGGACAACACAATGTGATGGTGGAAGCAGAGGCCAGAGAAGGGGACCAGCTGTGCTGCTGGCTTTTAAGGGCCAGTAGCCAGGGAGTGCAGATGCCTCTGGAATCTGGAAAAGGCAAGGAATGGCCTCCCAGAGTATGCAGCCCTGCGAATTCCTTAACTTCACAACTCTGGCCCCCAGAACTATAAGATAATAAACATATTCTGTTTTAAGTCACCAGGTTTTTGCTAATTTGTTATAGAGGCAATAGGAAGCTAATGCAGTGACATTTGAAAAAAGATATGGAGAAAGAGAGGGAAAGATTAAGTAGGTCTTTATGGGAAGAACTTTCTGGGCAGATAGAACAGCTGAGGTGAAGATCCTGAGATGGGAGTGTGTCTGTCACGTGCAAGGAGTGGAAAGGCGGCCAGTGTGGCTGAAGCCAAGTGAAAGACAGAGATGAGTCAGAGAGGAAATGTATCGTCAGTTTGTGAAGGGTTCAGCGGTTCTCAACCTGTGGGTCGCTACCCCTTTGGGGATTGAACGACTCTTTCACAGGGGTGGCCTAAGACCATCGGAAAACACATATATAATTACATATTGTTTTTGTGATTAATCACTATGTTTTCATTATGTTCAATTTGTAACAATGAAATTGGGGGTCACCACAACATGAGGAACTGTATTAAAGTGTCCCGGCATTAGGAAGGTTGAGAACCACTGCTCTAGATGATCACTGCAATGGCTAAGGGCTGTCCTCAGAGTTAAATGGAAGTCACTGGAGGATTTTTAATTGCAGAGCCACATGATCTGCTTTACACCCTTTAAAAAGCAGTCATGAAGAGTAGGAGAGTAAGGGTGGAGTGAGGGAGACAGTTAAGGAGATACTGTAAACAATCCAGGTGAAAACGATGACGGCGTGGTCCAGGTGATAGAACAGGTGAAAACGATGATGGCGTGGTCCAGGTGATAGAACAGGTGAAAACGATGACAGCGTGGTCCAGGTGATAGAACCGGTGAAAACGATGATGGCATGGTCCAGGTGATAGAACAGGTGAAAACGATGATGGCATGGTCCAGGTGATAGAACCGGTGAAAACGATGATGGCATGGTCCAGGTGATAGAACAGGTGAAAACGATGACAGCGTGGTCCAGGTGATAGAACAGGTGAAAACGATGATGGCATGGTCCAGGTGATAGAACAGGTGAAAACGATGATGGCGTGGTCCAGGTGATAGAACAGGTGAAAGCGATGATGGCCTGGTCCAGGAGGTAGAACAGGTGAAAACGATGATGGCGTGGTCCAGGTGATAGAACAGGGGCTAACTGAAAGCAGTCCAGTTCTGGATCTATTTTGAAAGTAGTTTGGACATAAAATGTTAAAGAGATGAATCAAGAACGACTGAGGTTTGGAGCTGTAATAACTAGATGGACAGAGCTGCCATGGAACAGGAAGGGGGAAAACTGTGGGGGTTGGGGAAGAATACCAAGGGCCAAGATTTAGACATATTAGATTTAAGATGCCTATTAGACACCACATTGGACCTGTCGTGTTACTATTTGCATATAGTATAGTCTGGCATCCAGGAAAGAGGTAAGACCAGACAATCATTTGTGAGGGTCCAGTGTATGGATGGTATTTAGAGCCATGGTACTGGGTAAGACAACCAAGGGAGAGAACAAAGATACAGAAGAGAAGAGGTCCCAGGACTGAATCTAGGCAACACGGAGGTTTGCAGGTCAGGAAGATGAGGAGTAAGCAGCGAAGGAAACGGAGATGTGTTCATGGTGAACATGGAGGAAAGTGAGAATGCGTTGCATTGAAGTTGATTGAAAGCGTGTTCTCGGGAGGAGGGAAGTGTCAAATGCTGGTGGAAGGCGAGGTGCTAGTCTAACTATTTAACAGTCAGCATGTAAAAGAAATGAATGTAAAAGCCTGTATATAACAACCTAAAATAAATTCCCTTTTATCCTTTAAAAAAGCTAAGCTAAATATCAATCCCTCATGTGACATAGAGTATAAATTGTTCATCAAATCACTATAATAAATTCCAAATCTTTTGTCATTTTTAGACATTGTTGGTTTTATTTGAGGAGGTTGTCACTAGCTAACTAAAGCCCCTGTCCTGAGCTTTGCTTTGATAAAGGAGACTGCATCAACCACACAAAAACCTCCCCACTAAATTAATAGTCATTGGTGACTTAGAGTATCAAATTCACATCAGTAATGTAGAGCACGGTGCCAAATCCTCTCAGCTTCTACTGAAAAGCAATTACATTAAAAATGTTCTACCCTCCCAAATGTTTTAGCCATTATATTGCTGAGATTTTGTATGCTAAAATCTTTATTATCAACTAAATCAGGAAAATCATTCTGAAATGTCATATTTAATTGGGTGGAATACAATCCTTCAGGCAAAACAAGAGGCAGTGTGCTGTAGCGGACAAGAGTGGTCAGCGCTGTGCTAGCCTGAGTTTGAATTTTAGTTCTGCCATTTAAGTTCTAAATAGCCTCTCTGTGCTTCACTTATCTGTAAAAATGGGGATGATCGTAATCATTTCGTACTTAAATAAGTTTACGTTATCAGACAGAACAAATATTATGTGATTACTCTCATTTTAATTAATAAAAATTATTGTGCTAATTCTTGTGGTGGGTTTTGATGAGCCTGTTCAGTTGAATGGAAGTGATGTTCAGCAGTGGCCCATACTCTGGGTCTCCTTGACCTTTAAGTCTCCAGGGAGCCTAGCTGTTCCCTGCTGCCCACCTGTACCCCTGCTTCTCCCAGGTCCTTCTGAGGCAAAGTCCCATGGAGGCTGCGTCAGTCCTGTGTGGCGTGTTCTGGAAGGCTATGCTGGGATGAGTACCAGCAGCATTAGCTAGAGCACTGGAGACCAGAGGGAGCTTAGATTTGGATACCAGGGCTACCCTGGACATGGTTTACAACGCCTGGGCCTATACAGTCAGGATA